TACCGAAGTCGTAAACTTCGAAAGTTTCGAAGGTTGAGTACGGCTCGAGGCGCGCCGATGCGCTACGCGGGCCTATCAGCGTATATGTAGGAGTTATCATCAAAATCATCGAAATTGCTCCTTCGCTGAGAGTCACGACTGAGGTCGACAGTAATCCCAAGCTCTCGTAGGTTTGGTAGAGGGGTGCGAAGCAGGGCAGGTTTTAGCCATTGCACGATAAAGGAAGAGGGGGAGATGTGAACCGACAGCACACACAGGTTTTGAGCTGGCGTGAGATCGGGAAGAAGGCTCAAGTCTAAGTAGAGAAATGGCCGTCAATATTGTGCTGCATTGACAGCAAAACAAGTCGGTGACGCACCATCAAAATCCAGGGCACGATACCAGCTTGTGTGGAGGTGAAACGAGGAGAGCGACTGGGCAGCGACAGCGACCACCCTCGAACCCTGTCGTCGGCCAGTGAGTCCACTGATGGTGACGTGGTGATGAGAGGCGCCAGCCCCAGTCTCAACGAGGAAGTCAACGACGTCAGGGCTGTCTAACAGATCGATGGTAGAAACTCGCAAAGGGCGTGGCACTGGGGGTTGCACAAAGCTTCTCTTGCACTTCACACGGCTACATGTGAGCGAGGCGAGACGCGGAAGGGCACAGAGCAGTCGCCCAAACACCACTGCAGAAGGGAAAGAGACCCAGGCGAGGTGGAGCGCGGTCACCGACTCGAACGCGGCCCTTACATACAGGAAGATGCGCGGGTGTAGCTGCCCAGGCTCCCACTCACCAATGTTGAGGACGAGTGTCTCCACGTTGGTCAGCTTCCCTGCCATACGGACAGCAAACGACCCAAACGTATTGATCTTCTTGTTCTCGAATCGCATTCTTTTGATGGCGCTATATCGCCCTAAGTGCTTGTCTAGTCTGCAGATCAGCCGATGCACGCCTTTCTTGTCTCTTCCCATGATGTCCAGCCTCTCCTCGGCACAAACGCGGCACCGTGTGTACCACGCTCGATTTACTCTCGCAAGCTTTCGCATCTGTGTTCCACCATCCCGTGTGTTCCAGATGTCGCCGGCTAAGAAGTCGATTATCTTCCACCATAATTCGACTGGAAGTTCAATTGATCGCCCAGAAAGCCTGTACTGCAGCTCCCCAACCTTTGTTGCCGCGAGTGTGGACGAGGACTGTGTATTGCCCCCTACTGTTCAGTGTTCAGTAATGGTCCGCCTAGTCTGTGCTGCGTACTCACTGTCTCCTTTTGTAAGCACCTCTCCCGCCTCTAGTTCAAGCGGGACTCCGTCATGCGGCTGACTTGCCGGAGGTAAGGGAGTCCCTGGTAGAGATGCCATGCAGCAAAGCACAGAAGGCGGGTGGGGAGGCTCGGCCTTCCAACACCGCCATTCTACCCTGCTTATAAGAGCCGACCGGCCTCGCACTACCTCGATGCAATGTGGCCCACGCCATGCACCGGACGACTCGCAGGCTTCTATCGAACTCTATCACACTGAACCTAATATACTATGATGAAAAGAAAAGCACCGTACATGGCCAATTGGGGACCATGGCCAATTGTGTCAAGGACGTTGCTCAAGCTCGTGTCAAGAACGTCGCTCAAGTTCTAGGTACAGTTCGTATTCCAGATTTGGGTTTCCCGTCTCTCGGTAGCACGACGGACTTGTGAATGAGGTCGAACACATGCACCCCACTTGTTTCGCACGTCTCTGATCACGTGTGCAGCCTCCCAAACCACACATACACATACCTAGTCTCGTAACCAGGCCTCGATGGGAGGAAGGGATCATGCGTAGTTACCAGATCTGGTGGGCGGAGAGCCAAAAATCCATGCTCGCTTTATCCTATGAGATCTCGGTACGAGACCAGAGGTCCAGTAAATTTGAGGGCAGGGGTATCCATCACACATAACGGACGTCACCGGTGATGATTCTGTGACCAGTCGCGTCTGACGCGCGCAAACGCATCGATTGTGTTGCAACTCAAGCTCGTTCAGAGGAGAGGAAATTAAGACTATCTTCTTGCCAGTCATGTCGAGAAGGAGAGGCATCACAAACGGCATTGTCTTCCCATCCCCAGTACCGGGGAAAGCCTCGGTGAGGAGAAAGTACTTCCAACACAGTACCATAGACGGTCAAAGCTTTCGAAAAACAGGACACAATGACGCACCGGTGCACAAGCCGTTGCACTTTCGCCTAGCACGCGGACGAGCTAGAGATGACGGGAAGGATGATGCTAGTGAATATGAACATCATTGTACGAGGAGTGCCACATACGAACTTGGTGAGGAGATACTTGCGGACTGGAGTTGACTTATAAATCGCGGCTTGACCCGAAGCAAATACCTTGTCTCGGGCAACCACTATACTGTGGAGGTATTACCCATACAACCATGTTCACATGGGACTGAAGGAAAGGGTCGCGTTTCCTCATGCGATGTGGCTGAAATGCATCGACCAGATGCAGGGAATCATCGTGACCAGACGCAAAGTAATCGGAGGGGTCGATGTGGCCAAAGAGTGGTGGATATGTAGAATCAAGCCGTATGTACGTATGCAATGGGAGGGGATGTGGCCGAATAGGTAGCTGGTTAAAGTGAATACCACACATGATGTCAGTGAGGGCGTACCACCTGTATCTGCATATGTGAGTCTTGCGCTGGTGGACGATCCACAGGCAGAGATAGATAAGACTTGCCGCAGTTTTCATGCATCCATCTCCCTTTCCTGGTAGTGCGCGAATGAAAGCAGAGCCTGAGGGTGGGTGGCGTCATTAGCTGAGAGACAGAACGGTGAGTACTAGAAAAAAGTTCACCAAACTAAGGGAGGTTGTGGGATACAGGATAGGTGGTGAAGGTGGGTGGGATTGTGAGCGGACGCGGATAAGCGCAAGTGTGCGGCATGCGGGCTAGGCACTGCCGGGGCGGGTAACTTCCAAGAGTGGAAATAGCGTGACTGACTCTCTTCAATCGTTTGCATCACTCGCATGCAAACTACTCTTTGCTTTACTCACCGCACTTGCTGGTTCCAGCGACGTTAGCTTCGACTCCAGCATTCGCATGACAGAAACAAAGTCTAGCTTTACGCGGTGACTGCAAAGCCATCATAGCAGTTCACGGAAAGTACTACTGTGTGAAGAGTAAAGACCATCCGTACGTCCCGTCCTCATGTCGTGACTCAGTATGCCGTATTGACCTTTCACTCGACTCTGGGAGCAAGCCATGTTTGATGACGTCGCTCAAACTCAAGCTTTGAACTCTATACAAAGCCGGTCAGTACGTGGGGCTGCGGGAAAGCGGGTTCGATGGATGATGATAGTTGGTGCGCTAGTTAGGATCACCACGCGATTCACAATGTATTGTATCCCAAGTACGTTACTCCCATGCATAGATGGGCGGGCGGCCGTGGCGCAACATTCGTAGAGAAGCCGCCAGGAAGTAGGTATCTCCAATGTAAGCGCGTATATTCTGCACAGAGGCTGCTAATCTCTTCCGGGACCCACTTTTCTCTCTTGATTTCTCGACAAAACTCAGTTGCTCTTGTTATCAGAATGCTATGTCGTGCTTCTGCCTCGATGCCGGATGCGGCGAAGCGGAGAAGACTGGCATCTATATGTGTGGTTTGGTAGGCGTTGGAAGCTGCACACGTGGTCAGAGACGTGCCAACAAGTGCGGCAGTGCGTGCATGTCCTCGTCTGCACGCTGGCGGTGCTGCTGAGGGACCGGAAGCCAGACCCTGCAACACGAGCTGCCTGGGATTGGAGCAAGATAGGCCTTGACTCACAATTGCGCCTGCCCGCATATGTTTTTTCTCATTATGATATGTAAATGAAGTCCTGTGCGATATAGTTCGATAGAAGACCACGGGTCACCTAGCGCATGGTGTGGGCCACATTGCGTCGAGGCTGTGAGGCCAGCTGGTTCTTATACGTTAAGTGGAATGGTGCTGTTGGCAGGTTAAGCCTCTCCCCTCGTCTTCTGCCCTCCACTGCATGGCATCTGTACCGGCGACTCTCATACGTCTAACGAGTCAACCACACGACGGAGCCCCGTCTGAAACAGACGTAGGAGGGGTACTTGAAAAAGGAGAAGGTAAGTGGGCGTCACAGACTAGGCGGATGAATACTGAATACTGCATATTGAATGGCAGGGGGCAAGGCACAGCCCTGGTCCACACTCGCTACAACAAGGATCGAGGAGCAGCTGCAATGCAGACTCTCCCCTCGGCAATCGATTGAGCTTCCAGTCGAATTATGGTGGAAGGTGATCGATTTTGTAGCAGACCATCTTTCGCAGAGGGTGGATGGCAGAACCCGGATGCGAGAGCTGGCGAGGGTGAGTCGGTCGTGGTACACGTGGTGCCGCGTTCGTGCAGAAGAGAGGCTGGATGTCATCAACAGGGACAAGAAAGAGGTCTACAGGCTGATTAGAAGACTGGATGATAACCCAGAGCGATACAACGCCATCAAGAGAGTCCAGTTCGTGAACAAGAAGATCAGTAACTTTGGGTCGTTTGTTATCCATTTGGTAGGGAAGCTGCATAAAGTGGAGACACTCGACCTCAAGTCTAGGTGGCGGCCGAGCAGCCCTGCTTTTGGGAGCCTGGGCAGCTGCACCCACGGGCCTTCCTGCATGTGAGGGTCGCGTTTGAGTCGTGACCACCCTCTGTCTTTTTCGTGTCCGGTTCCCATCTGCGGTGATGTTTGGGGGACTGCTCCATGCCCTTCCGCGCCTGGCCTCGCTGACATGTGAATGGGTATCCTTCAAGATGCCAGGCATTGTGCCGGGCCCGGTGCCAGGCTCTCTTCGGCTTGCTACCGTCGATCTGGATGTCATCCATTTTCTCATTCAGGCCAGAGCCAGCGCCTTCCTCTGCCATGCCGTCGTTGGTCCAAATTCATCTCAAGAGGCACGCTCAATAGCTGGTCGCCGTCGCTGCCCAGTCGCTCACCTCGATTGAATTCCGCATATATAATCTCAATCCTCCGGACCGTAATGGTGCGCCGCCGAGTTGTTTTGTTTTCAATGCAGCACCATGTCGACGGCCGTTTCTATAACTAGACCTAGCCCTTCTTCCTGATCTCGCGCCAGCTCACAACCTGTGTGCCTTGTCGATTCCCATCCACCTGACCCTCTTCGGCTCTGAGTGGCTAGAACGCGCCTTGCCTCGTGCCTCCCCGCCCAGGCTACGTGCATTTGATATTCCTGTCGCCATCAGTTCTAGCGATTGGCGACAGAGCAAGTACAATGATCACAGTAGTTCTTACGCGCACATGGGCCGGCTCCTCTCTGGACCACCGTTTCCTGCCCTCCGAAAGATCATTTTACACCTTGAGTACCATGCTACCTCAAGTCAGGCGAGGAACATGATCCCATACGTCTCCTGGCGGACATTTTTGTCGTCAAAACTCCCCCTCCTCCACGCCAGTGAACAGCTCTTGTGAGTAAACAACCATTATTGATCAGTCCCCGGTTCGAGATATGCATATGCTGGCGCTCACTCCAACAGTGGGTCATCTGTATCAGTTCATTTACAATACTACTGATTGGCTTGAATCTCACGAGTTTTTTCACTTGGCGCATCCCCACACCATTCCGCACCACCCTTAGCTACGTCGTCGTGGCACGATGCATCTTTCGCTGCCACACACGCATCTCCCACATGCCCAGCTTGCTTTGTCCCGTGAGTGGAGATCATGCGGCTCACTCAGACGTACTCAAACCACGTATGGCTCGTCATAAAAAAGGCAAATAAAGTCATTTCTACCGACGTTTTGGTTCAAGTATGGTACAGGATATTTTGGAACGGGAAGTGGGGAATGGGGCGATAGGTAAGGAGACGTTCCGAGCGGCAAGTGTAGTAAATACTGCACCCTGAAGTGTGTCGAGTAAGTCTCTCCCATCCATGCCAAAGGTCACCGTCTTCAGTCAGCCATGCACAACTAAGCCACCGTCTTATCTTGGTCGTTCATGATGAACCAAGGCGAGATGAACCAAGCCAGAATGGAAGTAACTTGAGCAACGTTGATGTCGCTGCAAGACGGCTGCAACGGTCAGTCAGCAGGCGCAGACGATCCAAGTGTGAAATGCGTTCGCGGTAAATCCAACAAGGACACGACGCTGAGGCCCCCCAACCAATTTGAGCTGTCGATAACCAAGCCAATTCGTCTGCTTGACAGAATCAGGACAATGCGTGTCGAACCCGGGGCTACGGTAGGGACTACTATGGCTGCAGACCGGGCACACCCCATCAGACAGTCCATATATGCGCGGTCAGGATGACAATGAAAAACCATGTGAATAGCCGCACTGGCTTGCGGAGAAGAGGGCAACCTGTGCCTCGATAATGGCAGGACGATTAACTCCGCACACAATCAGATGTACGGGGCGCGTTGTCTGAATGAAATGCGAGAGGGATTGGGTAGTCGCCCGTTTACAACAAGATGTTATGCGTATTATGATGGCGAGGAATGGGTCAGAGGGGCAGCTATGTCGAGTCAATACATCAAAATAGATGCACCAGCTTGTGCTGCAGGATGGTCCATGAGCCGAAGTGGGACTGTAAATCAGGAAAAGGAGATGAATTTATGCCACTGTCGTCAAGACGGCGCATATCTACTATTAGCGGGATATCAAAGCCAGGTGAAGCAGACAATACCGCATAGTGCGAATGAGAGGGAGCAGGAGCAGAGGCTGGGTGAATGAGGGGCAGCTCCACTGCGGCTAAGATATCTGCAGGCACCGCACACCGTTACAGGCTACTCAGCCATGGAGCACAAAGCGCAGAGACCGGTCAAGTGCTGTGGGCGGACAGGATCAGCGTCTCGCGAGCCACAACGATATGAGCGACCCATGCCCCTCGGCTTGATATACTCTGTAAATTGAGTCCATAAAGACACGGCAAAGAACAAAAATTACTAAATTACGACGGAGATGGAGATGACTTCATATGTACCTCAAGGATAGCACGGGTGAGCGATATAGGCGTAGAACGACAAGAGAAGTGTGGGTAGCACTGTAGCAGCATTTCGGGTGCCAGTGTGCTGGTTTGGTACCAATGCACCGCCATATAATATTACAAAAGAAAGGAGGGCGTGTGCCACATAGAATTCGATGAATATGGGTAGAAAGAGGAGCGAGTGTGAACAGACGATGAGCCAGTGAGCCGCAGGCTTGAGCGTGCAGCGTGCTGGGGCGGGGCAGTACCCAGAATAGAAATAGCGCGACCCGGAAGCGCGCCGGATCCCACCGGGGCTTTGAATCTGCGTTCAATGGTTTCTTCAGTCACCCTCACACTGCTTTTTGTTTCACTGGTCGAGACCGCTGGGTCCAACGACGTTATCTTCGACCCCGGCGTTCGCACGATAGAAACGACGCCTAGCATGCTTACGCGGTGACTGCGAGGCCCCCATAGCATCCGACTATGGAAAGGACTCCTGCGTAAGAAGTGACTAGTGAAGACTGGTACGCCCCGTCCTCACATCGTGACTCGGTGCTCCGTATTCACATCTTAGTGACTCTGGGAGAAAGCCATACTTGGTGTCGTCGCTCAAACTCAAGCTCTGAACCCTATACCGAGACGGTCAGTACACGCTGGGCTGCGGGAAAGCGGGTTCGACGGATGCTATTGTTCGGTGCGCCAGTTAGGATCACCACGCGGCTCACAGTGTAGTGCGTTGCTCCCATGCATAGATGGGCAAACGCTCGTGCATCAACATTCAAAGAGAGGCTGCCAGGAAGATGGTATTCCTATTGTTGGTGCGCATATTCTACACAGAGACCGCCAATTACTTCTGGGACCCACCGAGCATCGACTCTTCCTCGCCTCTTCGCCTCGGCTTTCCCCTCTTGATCGGTCGACTAGATTCGGTTGCTCTTGTTGTCCGAATGCTATGTTGGGCTTCCGTCCATGAAGCTGGACGCGGAGAAGCGGAGACGACTGGCATCTGGTATATGTGGTTTGGCAGGCGTCGGAAGCTGCACACGTGGCAAGAGACGCGCCAACCGGTGCGGTGCGTGCATGTCCTCGCCTGCGCGCTGGCGGTGCTGCTGAAGGACCGGAAGCCAGACTCTGCGATACGAGCTGTGACCAGATTTGGGGCAAGATTGGCCTTCAATGATTCCAAATTGCGCATGTACGCGTATTTGCTTTTCATTAAGGGAAATTAGGTTCGGTGTGATAGAATTTGATACAAGACCACGAGTCGCGCGGCGCACGACATGTGCCACGCAGCGTTAAGGCTGTGTGAGGCCAGCCGGGTCTTATAAGCCGAGTAGAATAGTGGTATTGGCAGGTTGAGCCTCCCCACTCGTCTTCAGCTCTCTGCTGTATGGCATCTGTACCAGCGAGTCAATCACGCAACAGAGCCCTGCGCGAAGCAGAGGCAGGAGGGGCGCTTGGGAAAGGAAATGGTGAGTGCACAGCCCAGACTATGTGGGCGACTATTGAGATATTACATACTGACTGAAAACTGAACGGCAGGGGGCGAGGCAGAGTTCCGGTCCACACTTGCGGCGACAAGGGTCGAGGAGCAGCAGCACTGCAGGCTCTCCCCTTGTCGATCAATTGAGCTTCCAGTCGAGGTGTGGTGGAAGGTGATCGATTGTGTAGCAGACCGCCTTTCAGTGTGTCAGGATGGTAGAAGGCGGATGCGAGAGCTAGCAAGGGTGAGTCGGGCATGGTACACGCGGTGCCGCGTGCGTGCCGAGGAGAGGCTGGATGTGATCTACAGACACAAGAAAGAAGTGTATCGGCTGATTAGGAGACTGAACGAGCACCCGGAGCGATACAACGCCATCAAGCGGGTCCATTTCATGAACAACAAGATCAATAACTTTGGTTCGCTCGCTGTCCACATGGCTGGGAAGCTCCCTCATGTGGAGACACTCGAACCCAACTTTCCGTGGCGCCACCGCGACTGGGAGCCTGGGCAGCTGCACCCGCAGGTCTTCCTGCATGTGAGGGTCGCGTTTGAGTCGGCGACCACGCTCCGTCTCGCCCGGCTCACTTTTCCGTCTGCGGTGGTGTTCGGGCGACTGCTCTGTGCCCTGCCGCGTCTCACCTCGCTCACATGTGGCCATGTCAAGTTTACGAACCCAGGCGGTGTACCGGGCCCAGTACCAAGCTCTCTTCGCCTTGCCACCGTCGATCTGGATAGCAGCGATGACGTCATCGGCTTCCTCGTCGAGACCAGAGCCGGCGCATTTCTCAGCCATGTCGTCGTCCGGCGCAGTGGAGATCTCGAGGCGTGCTCGAGGCTGGTCGCTGTCGCTGCCTTGTCGCTCTCCTCGTTTCAATTCCGCATAAATTGGTTTGATCGTGACGGTGCGTCGCCGAGTTGTTTTGTTATCAGTGCAGCATCATGTCGACGGCCATTTTCATACTTAGACCTTCTTCCCGATCTCACCCCAGCTCAAAACCTGTGTGCCCTGTCTGTCTGCATAAACCCATTCTCGCTCAACCCCAAATGGCTAAAGCGCGCTTTGCCTGATGCCTCTCTACCCAACCTGCGTGATTTCGAGATTGCTGTCGACCTCAGTGCTGACGACCAGCAACTAAGTAACGATGATTTCGACGATATTTCCTACGCGCGCATCGACGGGGTCCTCTCTGGACCTCTGTTTCCCGCCCTCCGAAAGATCACCCTTTGCCTCCGGTGCAATGTTTTCCCGAATAGGGTGACGAGCATAACATCCGAGGTTTCCTGGCCAGCATATATTTCATTGAAACTTCCCCTCCTCCACGCCAGTGGACGGCTTTTGTGAGTACACAACTGTTACCAACCAGCTCCTGGTTCGATCTTTGCATGTGCTGGTGCTCACTCAAACCATAGAATATCTGTATTGATTCATGCAGAGAACTAATGGACGCGATGCCCAAGGCTGCAATAATAGGCCTGAATCTCGCGCGTCTTGCTCTTGGCACATCTCCACACCACTCCGAACCACTTTTGACTCATTTGTTACGACATTAGTCACCTTTCTCTACTACGGTCACATCTCCCTCGCGCTTTATGGCAATTTGAAGTCCTAAGGTATTCGCAATCTTCACAGGAATGTGTCACACAGATGCAGAATCTGAGGATCACTCGTGGAACTCCTCAAACCTGCGTCCACGTACCGTGGGTCTTTTGGAGGAGACTGCGTGTAAGGCTTTGCAGATGTCTCCTCTCTGCAATGGCTGACACGGCGTTACGCAATTGTACCCTTTCCTGTGTGATTTCCAGAGTTGCTACTTTTGGCTTCGTTTCACCACATCATCTTTTTATTTGTCCTGTTCGCTGATCCCAGGCGTTTACACCTAGTCACGTATGTACAGTTCAATTGGGCATTTGAACGTTCTGCACGTCTTGGCATCATGTGAGCTCATTGTGACTTCCTCCCCCATATCGCCGCCTACGAGCAGTTCAAGCGGGCGTGCGCGAGGTTGTGCTTCTCGCCGCCTCCGGTTCGCCTTCCTCATTTGGCCTCAGGCCATATAGTTACGATCCGAACGAATATGATGGGCGCTTTCGAAATCGTCGCCGATCGTCACTGAAAACCAAATGGTGCATCATATCAGCTGTGTATCCAAAACAAGTGGGATATGTGGATTGGTGCTGAGAGAAAGGAAACGTTGGAGGGCGAAGGCGTAAGAATACGAAAGGGACATGAACGGCAGAGAACGGGAGAAAGTCAACAGTTAGACGAGCGTGTGACGCAGGAGGCGAGCAGCTGTCAAGAGCTGAATAGGGTTTACACAGTTCTATCAGTGGGGGCGGTTCAAAACTGGACCATAGATCAGGGCCAGTTTGACTAGCTGAGATACACAATTGGTAGTAGTAGACAAATGGATGCACACTGCGATGACCGCGACCTCTTCCGCAGCGTATCACCCTGCGCCAAGCTCTATGAGAAGGGAAGAGACACGCATGACATGTTGCACGATGAAATGCGCACCAACGAATGACCCCACAACTCCTCGAGCATGCCCTCGTCACCCATAATCCAGAGCGACATGGAGGAGGAACGCACCAGCCCTGGTCTCGATAAGATGGTCCTGAATGTCTGGGCTACACGGCAATCCCAAGGGGGCCTGACACTCGCACTAGGCTGCAGCTAGCCCCTTCTTAAATACCACATGGTTCACATGTCACCGAGGCGAGGCGCATAGACAAGTCGCTCAAACACCGTAGCAGAAGGGAATTTGATCACGGGAATTGACAATACGGCCACCCGACTCATTCTCGCTAGTCCTCGCATCTATGTGTCGCCATTCTAGCACCGCACAATCCCATCAGCTGCGAAATAGATCATCGTCTGCTACAACGAAACAGCACAGGCGCATGCTTTGCGGCGCCGGTGCTTCAAGGGAAAGTGACGTTCGGTCATTATGGTATTTGGAAAGCACCTAGCACTGCGGGTGCACCTTTGAAAAAAGTCCCCTTAAACCTCAATATTCGCATCCTGAAACTGAAACTCAAAGTAGGACGACATAGTATAACCCTCTGGATGTCGACGGAAAACGGCAATTGTAGCGTGTAAACTTGAGCCATGTCTCGACTCACATGGACGCAATCATCATCGCGGATTTTGAGCTCGTGATGATGGCCGGGTGGCACCGCCTTTGACGCTTTGATATTTGAAATTCTCAACTTGCATTGCAAGCAGGTACAGAGCGTACCGATGTGCCGTTCCAACCCGCGCTAGCGTGATGGAAAACCTGCATTACCACAAAGCAAAGTTTGAGTAAATACGATGAAGCACTGACCGCGTGTTTCAAAAGGCTGCATAAGACACATTCTAATTTGCAGCGCAGAGTGCGTTATTGGACTCATCAAAAGTCCATCTAGGCTGTCGAGGATCCAGTTTTGCATCACGGAGCGGACAGAGCTCGGATCTGGAAAAGCCCGGAGCGCAATTTTTACAGCTGTACAGTCGGCTGAACGCTGTTACTGAACCGGTATGACGGACTTGGGATTGCCGGCACAGCGTCTTAGGTGGTTTCCTGAGGCTGGAGTCCGAAGCTCATCTGCTACACCTAGAACTGCCCTTCGGAACTGGATAAAGGGGGCCTTTATCCCTCTAAAACTTCAGCAGCCCAACCACTGCAAGTCCCCCCTGCATCTACCTGACGAAACATGTTCAACAAAGTCTTCGTCTACGCTGGCCTCCTTTGTGCACTCACCTCCACAGTTGCGGCAGTTGTTGAAGTCATCCCAGGTCCTGGTTTGCCATCCTTGGAGTCTCTCGGCCTCACATCTGAAGAGCTCTTCGCCAAGGGTCCTCCTCCCGCCCTCAGTAAGTACAATTATCTCTCGTAGTCATCGGGTACTTACCACATCCACAGCTTCGCGGATCACAGGACTATTAAAGCGATATGATCCTGTCTGCCAGACCTACAGCACGGGTAGCGTTGACAATGTCATCGC